CCGTGTGGCCTGCCCTTCCCGTACACGCGTGGCGCCCAGCTCCCTGAGGGTCATTAGTTACCCTGAACACTGATATGGTGCCTTGCAGAGCTGTTCTCCTCCTCTGGAGCAAGCAGGTTTGCAGAGGAGCAAAGCTCCTGCTGCCTGCACAGCGGAATTATGTTCCGTGGGGTCAGGCTGTGACCAGAGGAACTGGGGTTCCAGCCCGGGGAGGGCTGGCGAGCGGGGTGTGTTCACGTGCCACGACACGACTGCAGGTGGCTGGAAGCGTTTGCCCCGGCAGGCTCAGCCGGGCGGCCATGCTCGGCCTGCAGAGGCTCTGCAGCCTCCTCCTCCTCCTCCCCAGGGACATGGGGCTCACAGATAGACCGCAGCCGAGATAATAAACAGGGCAAGAACCTCTATGGGGAAAAGGACTGGGGAAGGTGAGCATGCTGAGCGTGCAGTGAGCACGCGGCGGTGCTCACTGACTGCGGCCTGAGCGGGAGGAGAGCGACACGACTCTTCCTAGTGAAGCACCAACGCAGGCGCAGCCGGGCCGGGTGGGCCAGCCCGGCACATGACCAGGCCTGGGAGCCCCGAGGCCTCGGCAGAATCCCTGCTGCACGTTCCTTACCTGCACATGCTGGCTGCAGGCCGCCTTTTTGTCCACATCTTTTCTGTGTCCGTCACTAAATCTCTCTTTGCGTTCCCGGCACGTGAAGGCCCAGTCGTTCATTCCCTCAGTCTGGATGATTCTTCTCACAAGCTCTTTCTGGTCCATTGGCGCCCGAATGATTTTCAGGTTATTTGTGTAGATGATGATCTTGCCAAAATCTAGAATCGGGGGGGCCTGCAGAAGGGTGTCATGAGCGTCTCGCCTGCACAAAACCCGCCTGGCCCTCCCGAGGCACCGTGCTCTGCCCAGTCCCTGGCATGGGCTCTGCCCGGGCTCGGCACAGGGCAGGCCGGTGGCCACAGTGGCCAAGGCAGGTGGGGACTGGGTGTTGAATGCTGTGAGCGCTGCTTTGGTGTCCGTTCCAGGCGGGCAAAGCTCCCTGGGCTGCACACCCCTGCTTCAGCCCCGCACACCAGGGCACTAACCCGCGGTGGCCAAACGCCTTCCTGAGGGCAGCACTTCACTCAGGGCCCCCTTCCCCACTCTGAGCGAAGGGTCGTGGCCGGCTGCTCCACCTGTGCACGTTGCGCCCTGCAGGGTTCGGGTCTAGCAGCACCGCAGCAGGAGGGGCCCCGCTCCTGAGGAGCCTCTGCACTCTGCTTGCTGGCCTGCAGGGCAAGGGCAGCAGCGGGCAGGAGCCCTCCCTTTACAAGCCTTGTATTGGTGAGCGGACATGGTGCTCCCGGCTGGATATGGGTACCAAGCAGCCAGCATGGTTACCAGAGTGGTTATGGCTAGGTAAGCGCAGGGGGAGAGGGGAGGGTTACCCAAGATGCGGAACAAATTAATGGCGCAGACAGGAGCGCCTGTGTGTCCTTCCCTTGGGCAAACGTTCCCTGGGGATGGACATGTCCCACAAAACGGGACGGCGTCGCCTGCAGCACAGAGAGCAGGTGCCGCCCCTCTGCTGCCCGCCCTTGTGCAGCGCCTGCAGCTGCAGAGGAAGCAGAGCCCACAATCAGGGCGGAACAGACCGAGATTTGCAGACCCGTTTCAACAGACAGGACTGGCAGGACTGAGCTGCAGCTGAGTGAGGTCCCAGGCTGAGCTTGCAGCCGCCGCGTTACTGTGAAAAGGGCTCAGCTGACCGACATCTTGCACAGAGCGTGAAGAACTTAGGCTGGGCGTTACTCACCCTGCAAGGACTTTCACTTGACTGGCAGTCACTGAGGAGACGCGAGGTGCTCGTGAGATTGTATTTCTTGTCGTCCTTGAATATACTGATCCTCTGGGCGGTAAGCTTGGCTGGGGAGCAAAGCCCAGGCTCCGGGGCCTCCCCCAGGCCACAGAAATGACCCTCCGGCTCGAAGCTGTGGCGGATGAGGCGCCGAGAGCTCTCCTTCGCGGGGGGCTCCAGCTCCTGGCCATCCTCAAACACTTGTTTTAGCACCCGGCCGCTGTAGGCCGAGGATATCTTGAACCTCACCTTGCGGGGTCTCCCCTCGGGCCTTTGGCTGACTTTCTTCTGAGGCTCATCCATTTTATGACTTCCCGGTTGCAGCTCCTGGAAATCAGCTCAGCCAGGAGAGCTTTCGGTCCCAGAGAAAGCTCTCCCAGCCACGCAATGCATAATTCAAGGTTTCTGGTCGTTCCTCTCATCTTACAGCAAAGCTGACACCGCTGTGTTAAATATTGATAGATATTCACAAAGAGAAAATACTTACAGGGCTGAAATATAAGGCGGGTTTTGCTGAACTTGACTGAATGGTGGAGAGGCTGCCTTACGAGATGAGAAAAGGAGTTAACCTCGGGAGGAAAGGATTAAATTAGGAAACTGCCTGTCCTCTGAAGCCATGGAAATGCTTCTGCTACATAGTGCGATAAGAAGCACCCCAAACACACCAGCAGCTTTTCAGTTTTCTGACAAGGTGAAAAGCTAAAAAGACAAGTTCAGAGAAAAAGCAATCCAGCTCTGCAAGTGGCCAGTGTGAATTATTCCTCTCCCATTCTCGCTCTGAAGCCCTGAGAGCACAAAGCTCTATTTCGCTTTAATCCAAACGTGTTTCTCTCCAGGTTGGAGGAGATCTAATTAAGATTTCCCCTCACTGCGGCTTTCAATCCCTCTCTGTATTTCCTGCTGGCTGCTGGGGCCCTTGGACCATTCTGGTTTTGCTTTTCTGGTTTTGAAAGGTCTCACCGACCGAGACCCCAGCATCCTCTGCTGCTGCTCACACAGCCCCTTCGCTGGCCCGAGGCAGGTAGAAAGCAGAGCTCCCCAGCATCAGCCATGTCCCGTTCTACCCGCTTTATTCCTGTACGGGTGGCCGGGCGCAGAGCAGAGCCTGGGGCCAGACGGTGCCCAGCACCAGCAACGGACACGTCTCCGTTGGAGGGGCGGCTCTGTGGGATGCTGCTTCCCGACCCACACGCACTTCGGGGGCTAAAGCTCCTCGTTGCTGCCACTGCCAGTGCATGAGTCCCCTGTGTCCCTGTCGCAACCACAGGCCATTGTTTGAAGCTCCCTGCCAGTTCCCCAGCGCTTTCCTGCTCTCCAGAAGTAGCTGCTTGCTCTGCCCTGCCCAGCTCTGTGGCTGCTTGGGCTTTTATTCGCTCATCTCAAATGGAAAGAAATGTGAGAGGCTGTTTATGAAAAGTGTATTTTGCACAAAATGCATCAGCAGAGTGACCGCTCTCTGCCCCTTAAAGACCTCGTAATACTTATTTATACCAAGTGCACACAGCAATAGTTAGTCTTTCTTCTTTGGAGTTTCCATGTCTCAGTAAACTGCTTCCCCAGCTGATGTGGTTTTCTCAGCGGGGGCTTGAGCCAAGGGTTCTGCCTACACCCTGGCTGGACCATATACTATAATTTAAAACCAGAGCTCTTAAGGGTAAATCTTCTCAGCCATTTCATTTTGGTGAGAATGACTCCTTCAGCGGCCGAGAAAGGGAGTGCCACCGGGACAGCCCGTTCCAGCGTGCCCGGAGATCCCTGCGGGCAGCCTCGGCCCCAGGCACCACCGCAGGGCTCCCTGCTCACAGAGGGGATCCTTCCTTTGCAGAACAACTTCAGTCTGCGTTAATGAAACTCAGTTCTCCTGTGTTTAACTGACAAGTTTGATCCACCTTTCCCCTCCCGTGCACTGCGTGAGTCAGCCCTTTTCCAAGGTTCACCAGCAAGCCTTGTCTGACACAAATCACACTTCATTACATCCCTCAAATCAAAAGCAAATAAGCTCCAATTAAAGTAATCAAAGAGGAAGCGAGGTTCAAAGCCACCATGCGGGATCCCAGTGTGAGCACCTGGTAGCAATCTGTGTTTGCAAGTGACATGAGGGAGCCTGGCCTTTGGGGCCACGTTTCCACCCCACTTCAGCAGGTTCGGCTCCTTGCTGGGCTCTGCTCCATGGAGCAGGCAGGAGGCCGCTCCTGGCGTGGCCAGGGCCGCTGCCAGCACCGAGGCGGGAC